CAGGTGGGGGAAGGCTGTGACTAGCAGGCATGGCCAAACTTGGCCCTCCAGCTGTTTCGGGACTACAATTCCCATCATCCCTGACCACTGGTCCTGTTAGCTAGGGATGATGGGAGTTGTAGTCCGAAAACAGCTGGAAGCCAAGTTTGGCCATGCCTGGGTGTATCCACTTAGAGAACTGCAGCTAGAAACTTTGTTTACTTTCTTACGTTTGTAAGATATTTCTTCATACATTTTAAAAGAGGCCTTTAGGATACATTTTGAGCCTTACTAATTAGGCGTTTGGGCATTTTTCCGTTATGAGGGGTTATCTCGTTTTTTTGGAATCTGTTTTTAATTTGAATTTTGTTGCCTATACTAATACATACATATATCGACACGTTCTAAGTTCTTGTAATTTCCCACCACAAACTAACTTGGTAACTTTTATTCACTTAATATGAGATTGTGAGAGGGAAGCAAACTTTATTATATTTTAAACTCTCTATCCCATTTCCAGGTTATGTTGCTTCTATATTTGCAGTACCACTGAGGACGAAGTTTCGCAGACCCTCAAAACACATTGCAATTGGAATGAACCATATTCCTTATTGCTTTGTTTGCCTAGTTGGAGAGGGAGGGCAGCCGTTTGAGTTCTGCTTCAGGTAGCAAAATATCCTGGGCTTCCGTTGGCCATTTATTTTGGAGCCTAAGTTTCTGTGTTACTTTTGAATTCCAAAGGCAGGTTGGAACTAGTGAATATTTCTGAAGTGGTGGAGATTTGGACTCTGAGAAAGAACATCAACATTTTCCAACCTTTAACCAAACATGCAGTTCGGAACAATTTCCTTTATATTTGTATGTTGGTAGTGCGGCTGCTGCTGCAACCAGTGTTGGGTCCCAACCCACCAGGGGAAAACCAGTGTCTTGGAGCAGGTTACTTGCTTCCTTCCTTGTTCCCAGCCCCAGCCAGATGAGGGCTCATGTCTATACACTGCTTTCTGTTGCAAGATCTTGGCATCAAGAGTGCAGCATCCATTGGGAATCTTTTCTCCATGAGATCAGACCTTAAATGGGGCTGTATCTTTGTTCCAATACCTACTTCTCCCTTGTCTCTTGTCCCATACCTACTAGACCCTTGTCTAAATGGCTCCTTGTGGATGGTAATAATAATAATAATAATAATAATAATAATAATAATTTACAGTGGTACCTCCAGTTACAAACTTAATCCTTTCCAGAGGTCCGTTTGTAACCGGAAACCAGTCTCAACCTGAGGCGCGCTTTCGCTAATGGCGCGCGCACGATTTCCTCACGCATCCAGGGGCAAAGTTTGCTTCCAGGAGCACGTATTTCCAGGTTAGCGGATCTTGTTACCTGAAGGGTGCACAACCAGAAGTGTTTGCAAACAGAGGTACCACTGTATTTATTTATACCCCGCCCATCTGGCTGGGTTTCCCCAGCCGCTCTGGGCAGCTCCCAACAGAATATTAAAAACAGAATAAAACATCAAACATTAAAAACTTCCCTAAACAGGGCTGCCTCCAGATGTCTTCTAAAAGCCAGATAGTTGTTTATTTCTTTGACATCTGAAGGGAGGGCATTCCACAGGGCGGGCGCCACTATCAAGAAGGCCCTCTGCCTGGTTCCCTGTAACCTCACATCTCACAGTAAGGGAATCACCAGAAGGCCCTTGGAGCTGGATATCTTCTATTTCCTAATACATATGCAGTGTTGTGTGTGTGTGTGTGTGTGTGTGTGAGAGAGAGAGAGAGAGAGAGAGAGAGAGAGAGATCATTGTACACAGTCCTCTGTTCATCATATTCTTAGAGATTTATTTATAATTAAGCGGGATACACATTCTGTTAAATAAAATAAATACACCTGGACATAAAGTATCTTGGCCCATCTTTGTTGTTGTTGTTTTGGGAGATGACCTTTGGGGTCCCTTCCAACTTGACAATTCTATGATTCTATCTCTATAGCCAGTAGCTATAGAGCTGGATCGGGGCCCTAATATTTTCTTAACTCTTTTCGAAATTCAACGATGGTGATGCTAAAGGTGAGTTGACACATGCATGTACGTCAGCTTGATCTCTCTGTCCTTGATTAGACCGTACACTCAATAGCTGCTGCACTCAATGTGTGAACGGACACTACTGAGAAGCCTATTGTTGGGGGTGATATGGAAAGTCTGTCTGGGCAGTTGACCTGCTATGGCTTATACATGCGTGCGCCCCTAGATTCTGCCATCATAACATGATGAGCTGGCATGTGCACGATACAGGCCAGATACAAATCTAAGCTATTTATATACCCTGGAGGTCTGAATCTCTTTAAATTTTACTTGTTCGTAAGCCCTCATTCCCACTGGATTATACAGAGGTTCTTTGCTAGCCTATGAGGGTTACTGCTGCTTGAGTGGCCATTTATTGCGGAATAAATGCACCAGAAATGCAGCTTTTGTGCTAGGAACTGCTGCGGCTGGTGCTGTTTAAGTAGCCTGAATAGATTCACTAAGGGATGCTGCCCAAAGCCTTGGCTATTGAGAAACAGATCTTCATTTGTAGCTCCCTGCATTGGTTAATCTTTTGTATGGTAGTAGCTTTGGGTGAGCTTTGTTCATCATGTTCATTTGGGTATTCATTTGGGTATTTGGTGGGGCTTCTGAGGTGCTGCTCTCGATTCTAACTTGTTTGCTCGGACTTCATTCTGTGTTGCTGGTAGTTTCAAAGAGGTGAAGGTAGTAATGCGTACACATTCACATCTTTGTCCTGTTGTTGACTTTGGTCAAATAGGTCTTACAGGTCTTTGAAGTGCTATGAAATATGTTTGATCGCATACAGCAGTGCTAGGAGTATACACACCCTGGACAACAATGCATCTACTGTACAATTGCTATATTCTGGGGCGGTCAGAATCATTTTTATTCACATTTTGTACTACGCCAATAAACCCTACTGGCTGAGAAGACATTATATAAGGCCAGACTTACTTCAGCAAATATATATCAGATCCTTTCTTTGGGGTTCATTCTCTGACACCATTCACATACTGGCTCGTGAAGCAATTTCATTCATAAACATGAAAGCTTTTTTTGTCTGAATGGGCCATCCTTGCCCCTAACAGACAAGAAAACCCTAAGCCTCACATTTTCATGATGTTTGGACATTTAAAAGTGCCCATATGTAACAGAGCAGCTTCAAATAAGACTCAAAGCAGGGAATCTGAATCAGGTCACTTTGGATCCCGGATGTGGATCTGGTTTTATTGCATTATTATGGAATATTTACTCAAGAGAGGGTCTTGATGTTGGAGGGTCTGTTGTCAAGGTTGGCTTTGCAAACAGAAATCTCTTGAGTAGTTCTCTGCTGAAAATAGGGACGTCCTATTCAATAGTAGTAACAACAACAATAATTCTTATATCTTGCCCATCTGACTGGGTTGCCCCAGCCACACTGGGCAGCTTCCAACATATATAAAAACATAATAAAACACCAAACTTTTTTTTTAAAAAAATTCTCTATACAGTGGTACCTCTGGTTACAAACTTAATTTGTTCCAGAGGTCCGTTCTTATCCTGAAACCGTTCTTAACATGAGGCACCATTAGTGAAAGTGCGCCTCCCACTGCGCACACACCTCTGGCGTGAGATTTCTGCTCACATCCCGGAGCAAAGTTCGCATCTGGGAGCAACTACTTCCGGGTTAGTGTAGCTCATAACCCGACATGTGCCTAATCAGAAGCATTCGTATCCAGAGGTACCACTGTACAGGGCTGCCTTCAGATGTCTTCTAAAGGTTGTCTAGATACTTATCTCCTTGGCTTGGAGGTCACATAACTCCATACCCTCCAACATTTCCCCAGTGAAAATAGGGACGTCCTAAGGGAAAGCGGGACATTCTGGGATCAAATTAGAAACTGGGATGGCTTCTGTAAATCTGGGACTGTCCCTGGGAAAGAGGGACACTTGGAGGGCCTGAGGCAAAAGGATTCAGAATACAGCTCCCTGAGGTAGGGCTAAGAAGACATTTTAAGGTAAAGCAAACAGACAAGAGCAATAATCCCTTGACACTTAACTTAACCACAACTGAACATGGTGGAATTTCTGAGTAAACACGCTTAGGATTGGGCTGCATGTTGGGAGGCTGTAAATAAATAAATGTCCCACCTACAAACTGGAAGTCTGTCAGCTATTTGAAAAGGATTCCTTGGGTGGATGGGGGCCTCTGTTTGCTGATCTTGTACAAATGTCAGAGAGACAAGGATGCATTTTGAAGCATGCCATCTAACGGAGAAACCCACAAAGGTCGCTATTCGCTCACAGAGCTTGTGCTGACAAAAGCAAGAGAGCAAAAGAAAGGAAGAGGGCAACTCTGGCTATCCTTTCACAAATATTGCTGCTCCCCTTGGAGTGATCTGCTAATGGGGTGCTAGTGACCTTTGGTCTACTGGAACATTTCAGGCCCGTACAAAGCAGAAGTGAAATAGAGAGGCACTGGGTTTGCAGTTGGACTCTAGGTTTGAGCTATCTTATTGAAGGGTTTAGGGACGCGGGTGGTGCTATGGTCTAAACCACAAAGCCTAGGGCTTGCCGATCAGAAGGTCGGCGGTTCGAATCCCCACAACGGAGTGAGCTCCTGTTGCTCGGTCCCAGCTCCTGCCAACCTAGCAGTTTGAAAGCACGTCAAAGTGCAAGTAGATAAATTGCTACCGCTCCGGCGGGAAGGTAAATGGCGTTTCTGTGTGCTGCTCTGGTTTGCCAGAAGCAGCTTAGTCCTGCTGGCCACATGACCTGGAAACTGTCTGCGGACTAAGGCCGGCTCCCTTGGCCTGTAGAGCGAGATGAGCGCCGCAAACCCAGAGTCGTCTGCGACTGAACCTAATGGTCAGGGGTACCTTTACCTTTATTGAAGGGTTTTTAAAAAATGTTTACTTCTATCCTCTGGCTGCAGTTCAGCTAGTCCTTTCATGATGACCTTTCCACTTTTCTCTTCCTCCAGTTCTGCCGGTTCTTGAGAATGACCAGAAAGATCTTCACCAACAGCAGGGAGAGGTGGAGGCAGCAGAACGTCAACAGCGCATTTGCCAAGCTGAGGAAGCTCATTCCCACCCACCCTCCGGACAAAAAGCTCAGCAAGAACGAGACCCTCCGCTTAGCCATGAGGTACATCAACTTCCTTGTCAAGGTGCTCGGGGAACAAGGCCTGCAGCAGCCAGGGATGAATCCACGGGGAAGGATACTGGGACTGTTCCAGCCAAGTCCAAGTTTGGAAAGCATGGAAGACTTGACTCTCATTGAAGACTCTGAGGTCCCTTCTCCCAACACAAGCAGCAATGCTCCAGAGTGTTGGTCAGAGGCGTCGTCTCCGTGACGTGCTGTTTGTCGGGGCTGTAGCCCTCCTGGTAGTAATTTGATAGTTTCCCTTCTTTATACAAGTTGTGGGTTGTCTGCCTATGTACAGTATTTATATATATATCTTTTGCTCTTTTAACGAATGTATTTTGTGTAATGGTTTCTTTGGGAGATGCTAATTTTCAGTACTTAAAAAGAGGGATATCAAATCTCTGGAAGTTGATCAGGATTCCAGCAACTCTACTTGCCACAAAGTGCTTTGATCTCAAGGCCAAGGATCTGTGATACAGTCCACAGAAAACTACCCATGACGCATTGGTGAGAGTTATTGGAGCCAATAGCTGGTGACTGATCAGCAACGTAACTTCTAGACCCAGTTCATACAATTATTGGGCTGTGGAGCCAGTGTGGTGTAGTGGTTAAGAGCAGTAGTCTCGTAATCTGGTGAACCGGGTTCGCATCTCCGCTCCTCCACATGTAGCTGCTGGGTGACCTTGGGCTAGTCACACTTCTCTGAAGTCTCTCAGCCCCACTCACCTCACAGAGTGTTTGTTGTGGGGGAGGAAGGGAAAGGAGAATGTTAGCCGCTTTGAGACTCCTTCGGGTAGTGATAAAGCAGGATATCAAATCCAAACTCTTCTTCTTCTCTTCTTTTCCGTGGTGGAGTGAGTCCTCTCTACCTTGTTTCCTACAATGTATGGCATGAGGGCTGCATGTGATCTCCTCTTACCTTTCCTAAAAGGAAAGAAACACTTGAGTTGGGCCACTGCAGAGACAGCTGTATTAGGAAAATCTTCACGTCACACATTTTTGGAAGCTTGTGGAAGGAAGGGCTGCAAGCCCATTTCTTCACTTCTGAGTAATGTGTATTGAAGATTCAATTTACCTTCAGTTTAAATTTTTTTAAAAGTCAAGACCATCCTAACATCAAAAGGTAGTTGCTTTCAGCAGCAGACTCGAGAGAGAGCACCATATCCCTGCCTTCAGTCTTGGTCTGAAAACTGAGCCCTGGAGCAGAGGTTGTCATATTTTTCAAAAATATTTTTGCCTCAGGTGAAAACAGTACCTAAGCCCCCTGCTAACTCATTTCTGTTGCCTTCATCAGCCATGCAAGTTATGAATCATCGTCACTGCTCTTATGTCTGCATCTCATTTCCAGTTTTTTTCTTTTTGCTTTGCAGCTTATGTCAGAACTGGAAAATCAAACCAAAAAATATTTGGTATATTTTCAGAGTGAAAACACATCAGCCACGAGAGGATGGCTGATGCCCAGTACACGTGCTGCAGTTTTATTCAAAATTGCCAAAATAAATAAACTAGGGTTGCTTATTTAATTTTTCAAACATTTGAACCTTAAAAGAAATACATTCAAATTTGATTATTTTTCAGGAACAGCAACTGTTTACTCTGGTTTTGTAGATGGGGGGGGGGAGATTTTTAAATTTGGCTATAGTCAGTAGGAAGGTGGCGTGGACTTTTAAACTCACACAATTTAAATTTAACAAGTGGAACTAATCAAATTGCTCAAGAAATGTTTCCTAATGGGAAACACAGTTTAATTGAAAGATACCCGTTCCACTGCTTTTTATAAGGCAGCAGGTTGCTGTTTGGATTATTTACAATGAAAGACAAATAAGACTACATTATATTTCACCTACTTCTCAGACATTCATCAAAGGCACTATTCCCCAAACTTTTGTTGATTTACGGAACAATCCTAAGCATGTCTACTCAGAAGTATGTCCTACTGAATTCAATGGGGCTTACTCCCAGGCTTGTATGGTTAGGACTCCGCATTTCATACTCCGCATTTCAAGAGCAAAGCTCTCCTGAGGTGGCTTACAGAAACATTCGAAATCATAAAACATAAAACCCTTTCATTACAAAACTTTAAAGAAAAAGAAAAGCAGTTTAAAAACAGGATAACGGCTCAGCATAGCAATTCAGATCAGATTATAATCAAAAACAGAAACAGTTTAAATGTAATGAAAGACCTTATATAATTAAAGACCAGTCTAATTGTTACGTGTTCCAAACACTTGCCTCTCAACAGGCAATTGCATTCTCTGTGTTGAAGTTTCCAAACCATTTCGAAAGACAGCCTCATATAGAATGCATTACAGTGGGCTAGTCTGTAACCAGGACGTAAACAAGTGAGGGAAGATATTTTTTCTCTGGAGGTTCGTAGCTGGCAGAGCAGCTTGAGCTGCTTTGAGCATCCCAGTCACTGATTCTGTCACCTGTGCCTCCATAGATAGCTCTGTTTGTAGGAGGAAACAGCCCCCGCCCCCAAGCTGCAAACTTGCTCTTTCAAGGAGAATGCAACCCATCTAAAACCACTTGCAACTCTCCGTCCACATTGGCTGGCTTCCTGTGCCATAGGTGGTCGAAGCCTCAGCTTCTTCATCTTCCTCCACCTCAAAACCATTTGCAGGTACCCACTGAGGACTTCTACAGTCCCCCTGGGATCAGTACAGTGGTACCTCGGGTTACAGACGCTTCAGGTTACAGTCGCTTCAGGTTACAGGCTCCGCTAACCCAGAAATAGTACCTCGGGTTAAGAATTTTGCTTCAGGATGAGAACAGAAATCGCTGTGCAGTGGCGTGGTGGCAGCGGGAGGCCCCATTAGTTAAAGTGGTGCTTCAGGTTAAGAACAGTTTCAGGTTAAGTACGGACCTCCAGAACGAATTAAGTTCTTAACCCAAGGTACCACTGTAGTAATAATGATAATTTATTATTTATACCCTGAGCATCTGGCTGGGTTTCCCCAGCCACTCTGGGTGGCTCCCAACCGAATATTAAAAACACAATACAGCATTAAACATTAAAAACTTCCCTAACCAGGGCTGCCTTCAGCTGTCTTTTAAAAGTAAGGTAGTTATTTATTTCCTTGACTTCTGATGGGAGGGCGTTCCACAGAGCAGGCGCCACTACCGAGAAGGCCCTCTGCCTGGTTCCCTGTAACGTCACTTCTCGCAGGGAAGGAACCGTCAGAAGGCCCTCGGAGCTGGACCTCAGTGTTCAGGCTGAATGATGGGAGTGGAGACGCTCTTTCATGTATACTGGGCCAAGGCCATTTAGGGCTTTGAAGGTCAGCACTTTGAATTGTGCTCGGGAACATACTGAGAGCCAATGTAGGTCTTTCAGGACTGGTGTTATATGGTCTCGGTGGGTGGAAAAGAAGGGTAGATCTGGGTGGCATCTGCACACCAGTGACACTGTGGCCCAAAACCTCTACATGGCTTCTCCCAGCAAATGTTTCATGCAAACGTTAAAAAGCATGGGAGACAAGATGGAGTTCTGGGGTCATTGCTTTCTATTTGCCTGGGTTAATCGGCACTTGAAGTCTCTTGACTGAAATTCTGCTTTCTAAGTGAGCTTCAAGGAACAGACCAATAAATATTGTACTTTGCTGCAACTGCAAAGGGGCGAAGCTGCTGCGCTTTGGACATCAAAGCCCCCATTTCGACTCAGCCATTAAGTCATATTTGGCTTCCAGCAAATGACTCGTTTTAACCGATATCACAGGACTGCTGTGAGATTAAATTAAATGATAGCGCTGTGGTAATTATATTGCTTTAGGTCTGCCTCTTCCCCACTAGCTCCAAACATTTTTAAATGGTACGTGTCAGAGCTGGCTCCAGGTCCCAGCTCACAGAGGACCAACGCTAGCCGGCAGTAATGTGCAAAAGTCTTTATTGAAGTACAGTTTCCATTTTCAAGCCGGAGCGCCCCAGCTCTACGTCTAGGGGTTAGATCGGCGAAGCTCCATCTGAGTCTCCGCCCCTGTACACCAGTTTAAGATTCTAGCCTTACTCCACCTCTTACGTCTCTCCTTTCTCCTCTGGGTCCTGCTACCCCCCGGGGTCCCTTCCTTCCTGGATTCTTCTGACGCTGACCCTCCTGACTCCTCCCCCTCTTTTCGGCGGGCTTTGGGACCTGGCTCCCTATCCGGGCTGCCAACTGCGCCGCCCTCCTGTACATTTGAACTTGGCGCGCGCGCCCAGCCTTCAACCTTCCTCTCGACCGTTTCCTCGCTCCCCGATGGAGGCGTGGCCAATCCTGACTCATGTCCTCCCACTGGCAGTGCGCCGCCTGATCCCGATGCCTGGGACTCCTCCCCCCTACTGCACTCTGGTGTGGACGCTGGTCCTGATTTCCAACTGCTGCTCTCTGAGTCCCCTCTGGCCCCTTCTTCCTGGGGTGTCCCCCTCGGCACCCCCTTGCTCTGACCAAGGGAGCCCCTTTCTGTGAATCTTCCGATTCGCTGGAAAGACTCAGAGACCTCGGACCGCTGTCATCGCTAACATTTCCTTCGGACTCCTCCCCCTCGCTCTCTATTTCCTCCCTTTCCTGTGCCTCTGCTCCTGAACCCCTGACATCCATCCCCCTCGAAGCCCCCCTTCCCCCTCCCCTCCTTCAGGTGTGGGTACTGGGTGCTCCGTCGTTGTGGGGGTGAGTGCCGGATACAGTTCGTCCCCCGTGGCGTGCATCCAGCCGGATAAGTCCGGCTCGTCCTCCGTGCTCTCGCCGACCTCAATTTCCTCTGCTTCCATCTCTTTGCCGCCGTGCTCGAACCCAAGGTCCTCCCCCAACACGTCCATGTCCGTCTCTCCCCGGTCTCCTCCGGGGACGTTGCCTGCCAAGGACCCCCCAACCACTTCCTGCGCCACTGCTCCTCTGGTTGATTGTCCCACCAATAGGAACGGTCTGAGGCAGACCCCGAGGGTGATCCCTCCGGGGAACGTGCTTCTAGTGCCGGTTCCTCGTCCGAGGTGAACCCCTGGAATGTGCTAGCTGAAAATGTGGGTGTGAAAAGCCAGTCGTCGAAATACTCGGCTGGCATGGGCCTGTGTGGGAAAAGTGCATGGAACTCGTCCTTGAGCCAAGATTCCTCCAGAGCATAATCTGGCACCCAACTGTTGGCGCTAGCCGAGGTACCTTCCTTGGCGAGGAGGTATTCCACTCCCTCCTCCCCCATCTCGAGTCTAAAATCTCTGTGACTTCGTTGACGGGTT